TAGATGTTTTTGATTTGCCATTAAATACCACACGTAATTGTGTTGTCTCGGATTTGGGGCGCTCGACACAATGGTGAGGTAAAAAGCATTCAGGGGTCATATTACCGTCGTTACCTACAAGTATCATGTGTCCGAGCGACAAATATTCATTAATAACTAATTTATATTGTTGTGCAATATCCGGCTGTTTTCGAAATTTTTCTTCTATTTTAAAAAATTGTCCGATTGCTTTGTTTATAGTTGGGTTTCATCGGCAGCCTGACTTCATACCGGCCATCTTCCCGACGTTTGGTAGTGGTTTGATAATATTATAAATAATTATAAGGCAATGTTGATCTTCTGATGAGGTTTCTACTGGGTCTAATATAACTTCAAGCTCCCAAAACTTGTAGATATCTTTATAATTATGTAGCACTACATTACATTGAAAAGTTTTCACGTTGCCACTCAATATCCATCCCAACTGGGTTTGTTGAACCGTCGGGAGGTCTTCAGTTTGCTCTGCAAATGCCATCCAACTATATAGCAGAGTATACATCAGCGCCTAATAGAATGTCCACTGGACGACTGACGTAAAACTCGGGGTCTGCTAACTTGATATGGTCTAGGTTTGTCCAATCTGGTGTTGAAAATGTGTAACTAGGCAAGTTTTTGATAAGGCTTTTCATGATTGAGAAGTACCTCCGTCTCAAAATTGAAGTCTGTAATAAGTGATGAACATTTTATGGTAATTAAACCTTTACAATTGCTTTCTTTATCACCCACACCTGATATTACACCCTTGCAGCTTCTTCTTGGTAAACTTAATAATTGAGCAGCCCGTTCCGTTATCAAAGATGTTTGGGAACCCTGGTCCAAGAGGCACCGCATTCTATGAAGGGTTCCATCTGCTGATTCCACCTTGATAATCGCAGTTGGTAACAATACTTCGATCGGTTCATTCGGAAGCGACACGTGCGAACTACTTTTGACATATTTCACGGAGTAAGCATTTGAACTACTGGCGCCGCTCGGACCGGCACGTCCGGCCGCTGTTTCCGGTGTCGCAATTCCTGTTTGTTTGAATATTTCATGTAGAAGGCTATTATGATCCTTATTGCATTCACCACAACGTCTATCTGAAATACACGCTATTCCATAGTGGTTATATAGGCAATTAGGCCAAAGATTTAATTTTGTGACCATTTTTCTCTACTGCTTGGCGACATATCTAAAAATTTTTACAGTAATAAATCCCGTGCTCATCACTGTTGCACAGAGAACATTTGTATTTAGTCATAATATTTTTGCTGCTTGATTTTTTCGGCGTCATCGCCATGCTTGAATAAAATTAATTTTTGTAGTAATTCGGTTTTTGATTACTGTTGTTAAAAGCTTTTAAGTTTCCTTGATATTTTTGTGTACCTTTCTTCCTACAAGCTGATTCCAACGTAATGAATTTGGTTTCCAATAAATCCAAAAATTCGTTCAGCATAGGTAACTCCCTTGGGTGCTTAACGGATTAATCTGAGTATGATTCGGTGTCTAATTTTTGCGACAAAATGTATACAATCAGAGGGTCCCATGAGCTTACTTCGACCCCTAGATTCTTGATAGCATTCAGATACTCAATTGTGGTATCATGAATGCGCTTGATATGATTCAAGGACTGATGTTGCATAACAGGAATATTTAAAAGTAAACTAATGTGTGATGATAATATAAGACTCTTGTTGTTAAATCTTTGATTTAAAATGTCCCAACATACATCGTAGTTGTACGAGCTAATGCTGAGATGCTGGATTAGTCTCTCGGCTTGACCTTGGTCTTGAGATACTGCATCTTCTGCGCGTTGGACATAGACGGATTGTCACGGATTGTTATGGATTGTTTCAGTGAAAAGGTCCTTGAAAGAAGTCCAGGTGTTATAACTTCTACTGAAAGTCGGAATCTCCACCTGCGGCGTTGACTTTCCCCTGTGAACCACTGACCACATTTTCTTGTTAATGGCTTTCTTGATTCTACTATATTCTGATTCGTAGCTGTTAAAAGTTTCTTCATATTCCTTGTTCGACCCTTCCAGCTCACTATCTAAGTCCCAGTGCAGCGCGTCGATTGCTGCCCACCGGGTTTGAACCGTCCGTAATAAGTCATCAAATTCCCACTTTTCTGACACTGAATCAAGGTCAATGTTTACTAGAGTACGCTGGAAAGCTTTAAAATTACTTAACTGTTTTTTCAGCATGTCGTCGGTCTTGCTCGTCGTGCTTGTTGCTTGCCCTGATGGTCGAGAGGATTCGCCTTCTCTCATAACAAAAGTTGGTGGCTTCAGAAGAGGCTTTCTGGGCCTTTCCCCTGTAAGCGTCTGATAGTTCTGTATATAGCCTAATAGACCCGTATCTTTCGGCTTCTCGTTGAAATTCTTGATTCGTAAAGTAGCTACTAGACTCAATACCGAACTCTGATAATGTTGCATGATTATTTTTAAACTCTAGCCAATACTTATCCAACATATCTAATCTACGCTGTATATAGTATGATGTCTTCCTTTCTGAGCTGTCTTTTTTAAAATTGGTAAAGACATGCTCTATCACCTGAGCGATTTGCTGCTGATTAGCCAGGAAGTCGTCTATTTTTGACATGATAAAGAAGAGAAAAAGGGCTGATCTTACTTGATATCTGCCGAACGGCGAATGTGAGCAGACACGCTCACCGACTGATGATGACCAGAGATTTCGTTCTCCATACGCAGGCATGCATCTTGATCGCACACCGCCTTGATACTTGCTGCGTCACTGGTTTTTTGATAGCCCAGTAGCAGTTACTCAACTACGCGCCACGTGTTCGAAAAAATCCGATAGGTTACTGCGTGGAAACACCGACACGTCCAGACCGAAACTAGAGCACACGTGCCAAGGTCCCGCTTTTTCGGAAAGCTTGAAGGACCAATGTTCGGGGTTGTACCGATACTAAGGGTATGATAAACTGATAACGCTTGATAAGTCTGATAAAATATATTTTATATAAGTTACAAATCTTAAAGTAATAATGAACGCCTAGCGCTCTTGATGGCTATATGCGAACTGATTTTATAATACAATTGCCGCGGAAATATGTGAAAGAGGTCAAGTTGTGAAATGATGACTTGACAATTGTACGTAGCATTTCATGCTCGTACAGATACAAATAAAAAGAAACAATGTTAATTAAATTAAGGGTTTGATGTATGGAAATAAATATTTGGTTACTGTTTTTCTGCAGGTAACTGCGTCGTGCAAGAATGAATTCATAAAGTCCTACGCAAACCAAATCGGTTTATAAACAGATCCAGCACAAGCTCCGGATTGCAAGGATAATCTAACTTTTCTTCTGTGGTTCCGGTACGTAGCCAACAGTAAGTCTCGTTTTTTTTTTAATTCTTCGACGGGGATGTCTAAATCGTTGCTTATCCGCAACCAAACGTTATGCACTAATTGCTTATCCTTGTACCTGACATCCTTTGGATTCCACAATATTGATTCCCTTTGGCAGGCTTCCAAAAACTATACTACTCACGCGCATTAGACATAATTGTCGCACGCAGCATGCACCACTTCAAACGAACGCAGTTTTCGGGCAACTAAACGAACGAGTGTATATAGGCGCGCTCTCGTTTTCGTCGCGAGACTCACGAGACCCTTTGACTCGAGCGTAGAAAACCGACACGCTTCCGAGAGTGAACGAGGTCCATGAGACGGGACGCGACGCGACGAGGGCACCATGTACACACTCGTACTCGGCCTGTCTCGTGGTGTCTCAACGAGCGTGTAAAGCCGCCATTGAGATTTGGGAAGTAAGCAACTATAATTTTAATAACTTGTAGGGTTGCAAGTGTAGAAATTAAAGGCCACTTGGTAGTTATGTTGGTTTATTGCGTAGACTTTCAATTGTAAAATAAGTAATCGGAGTGAAGTTGCGGGTGCGTCATCGGTTGCGTTTTTACCAACTTTCTTTTATTCGACTTTGCACAAAAAATTACAACTGCCATTACAAAACGCGCTTACTAACATAAAGTGTTATTCTAAAGGAAGGAGACATCAACTCAACCACAAACAATGTGACACACAGATAAAAACATTAACTATTCGAAAAATTATATCATCAACAACTTTTATTGCTACTAGGGTGGCGCTACTTCGGAATGAGGTGAGACATTTGGCAGATTTCATAGCGGGGAAGTTGATTTATTAAGAGAATGTAAGGGTTAATGTTTCTTTCCGTAATAGTTGTTACATTTTATATTGATTAGATTATCATGAATAAACGGATATTCCAAAAATTAGAAAAATTATAAAAAAGTTCAAAATGTATAAAAAAGTAAAGAGAAAACCACCGAAGCACTTCACCTCCGTTCCAGCTAGCGACATCTGGTAAACGGAAATCTATTAGCCTTCATTGTACTATGAACACATCTACATTCGTCACTATTATAACCAACTATAGCAAATATATTCAACAACATAAACAAATGTAAAAAAAAATAATAATGTGGCAGTGGATTCTTCCCTCGGAGTAATAACAAATAAAAGTGTAAGGGTGACAAATCAACATCGAGCTATGCTGCGCTGTACTGCGCTGTGCTATGTTTGGTCAACTCGCTCGTCTAATATCTTAATGAGGATACAAACAAACCATGCTGTGCTGCGCTGTGTGAGGCTACGCTCTGTTTAAAAACGCAGCAGTCTCGAGCGAGGCGCGCTACTCGCCGTGCTGAGTGTGCCGAACTGTGCTATGTTTTTTATGGAGCTCTGCCATGCTGCGCTTTGTCGAGCTGTGCTAGGTTTTTCAAACATGGAGCACGCTACGTGCCCCTCCATCGCCCTCAGACGTCTCTCTCACTCTCGTACTCCCATCTTGCTCGCACTAGTGTATGCGCGCACAAACATACAAGAACGAACGAGTTTCATTCGCTCATTCAAACAGGTCAGGTAACACGTGTTGTGTCGAAATTTGTTCATCGAGGGCAGTGGTCTGATTAAAAAATGGAGATTTTTATAGAAGAAGTTCGGAAACACGAATTTTTGTGGAATCCAACATCCCTATATTATAAAGATTCAGAAAAAAGAGAAGCCTCCTGGCGCGCCATTATACAAACAACAAAGATGGAAAACAGTAAGTACTCATACTTACTTAATAAGTGTGTGTGTGCGTGTGTATTTATGTGTGCTTATCGTTGGTGTATTGGTACAATTTTGTATGTATATACTCACAGTTATAATCCCGGATATGTTAGCTACTAACCAGAGACTCAACTCAAGGTCGTGATCATGAACGAGGTAAACAGAAGCATTTGAGTGATATAGGTGTACCAATTGTGACGCCTCATAATTATTATTAATAAATAATAATTAAATTCATTATACAGACATTTAAAAATGTCTTAGAAATTATAATTTAAACAATAAAATGCAAATAATAAGCATAAAGTTCAAAAATATCCATTTGGAATATTGAATATTATAATATTAGTAAACGCATAAAATGTCTCTAAAAATCTCTAAATTTATTAAAAACCTCCTTAAAATGTTCAAAATATATCAAATCATATAAATACAAGGCGATTATATTGCAATAACAAAGATAAATAACATTTGTAATATAATAGAAAAATGGATTAATATTTTCTAAGTTGATGAAGGTGTTCGTGTAATAATTGGAAAATTTCTAAGTTAATGAACGTGTTCTTGTAATGTTCCCTTATATTGGGGCGTTGTCGGAGACACATACCCAAGGTTGTACATATATATGGGGTGGTCGGCTGACCGACTGCTAGTACTAAGGTTGCACAATGACTAGTCCTATATTAGGGACTTAACATAGTAAGGTCTGACGAACCAAAGCATTAATATAGAAGGTCTCTATGATGTATAAGCATTATGATAGCAGAGTTATGACTTGAAGTCCCATATGAATAAGACATACAGTAGTATGGTCTATGAAATAAAGCAAATATGTGGAAGGTCTCAAATATGTAAAAGCATTATATTGAAAGAAATGGGACTTGAAAAGGATTATTATAGTGGCGTGTAGGTTGCTTCGCAGCCTCTGAGACCGAGGTAAACTTGGACTCACTAACCGATGTGTCCTAGACATATCATCTTAGTGCCGGTGGTAAGCGGGTTTGTTGTAGCAATACGACTTGCCCGTGGACATCGCACACCCCTACCGGTTGTGGGTGGCGTCTTAGCGCATAGCGTTATGATACGTCGGCTATCTTTCGGATTAGGGTGAGTGTGTTTGGTAGTACTTTTAAGTGCAGCAAGCATACTCAACTTCATGTCTTAGTGCAATAGCGCTATGATACGTGGAGTTTTGGCTACTGACGTCTTAGTACCGTACTACTATGATACGTTGGTGGTAATTTTAGTTAACAACATTATCAAATTTTGTTACCAAAGTCGATAGGGATCATGTGGGTGTGTTGTGAGGGGGCGCCATCCGTATGATAGTTGCATTGATGCTTACTGCTACTTGCAGTATTGTGTCTTGTGATGGATCTGCGGGGGTGTGCTGCACCTAATTCGATGCATCTTGTGGTTCTGGTCGATGGAGGTATGCGGGTGGTGATGTCTGCTGGGACTGTATGGGGGACCTTGGGATGGTATAAGCCCGACGATAGTCGTATTGATGCTTGTTGCATTCTGTAGCATTGCGTCTCTACGATGGTTGTTTGGCAGGTCGCTATTCACAATGGCGCTCTCTGCGTCTTGGTTTGACTCACAACCTAAGTAGCTTTGCCCAAGTCGGGTCCCTTCATTGCGGGGCTGCAGACTGTCTGCCCTCCATGATGTTTTATATAACAACTTAATAATATATCTCTATAAAGTTTCCACCTTTGAGAGATTGAGGGCAACTTGTTGGTGGGTGAGACAAACATGATCGAAAAATGCATATACTCAACGTCAGTGACATAAACCCTTTCTGATGGCGAATTATTACTATTATCTTATAACTGCCTATTGGCTATATCTGCCATTGTATTGGTTGGTGGAGCATATGTGTCGACCTCATGCGGGTGGTAGCTGGAGGGAGAATCTGAGGAGGCTCTCAAGGCTGCGGCCGAAAGCCGCGCAACGTGGGACCCCATTCCCTTGAGGTGAGCGGTAGACTCATGACACGCTCTGCGGCCAATTGGCCGTGCTGACCATGCAATTGGTGGTGATGCCTTACACTTACATCACGTCTGCAGGAACGGCGGTCTGGCAGGTGGTGGCGCTCACGGAAGGCTTTTTATGGTCAGTGTGCCTATTTTTGCCTAACCCGTGTGACGTACATTTCACTGTGGCTGGATTTGATCGTATTCTGTATGGCGTTTACACGCGTTGACATGCGCGACTTCGGTCGATGTTTGTGCTTACGCACTATCAAGGGGCCAAGTCCTCTTTTACTGGTTCGCCAGTTATTTTGCTGTGGACTACGGTCCAGTTCCCAACTTTGCGTACCCTTCGGGGGGAGCGCATTAAAATGGTTGGCGCTCACCGTGCGCGGCGTGTGTGGGGCCGTGTACCTCCTCCACATTTTTTTAAAATGTGGGAGAGCGAAGCCCTTGTAACTGGTATTTGATATAAATATTATGAGCCTTTTCCAAGCGGGAAGGGATTAATTAATAAGGAATTGACTGTTGTGAACCAGATACAAGTGGAATAGGGACAATTTATTGTTCTTAACCTTTTTGAGCTCTGTCTTCGTAAACGGGGTTCTTTAGCTTATAAGACTCTACCAACAGCTTTCGATTGCTCTCGTGAATATTCATTCTTCCAAGATACACCTAAAAGAACTAAGTTACTATACAAACACAACGTAAAAAAGGGTCCTAACTAAGACGATCACGCCATAAATTTATTAAACGGCCTATATTTAAACCTTTAGAAAGATCAAGTTATACTGGTGCAGTAAATTAGATATATTTATATATCTTACAGATATAGATTCTAAAGAAATACAAGTATAAGTGGATATATAGTAGAAAAGAAAAAGATGGGGCGGGGGGTTCGTTACACAATGAATGATGAACCTCGGAGTGGTTACATTGTAATTAATTTACTAGTGTTGCAATAAAATCATTAATTAAATAAACTTATTTTTGTATAAAAGATTTCCATATGTACTCATTAAATAATTTTTTTATTAAATTTTCAGTTTTATAACTTGTAAATTAATTAAAATGTAACCACTCCGAGGTTCATCATTCATTGGTACACCTATATTAGAATAATCGATTACAGCTCTCTTTTTACCAGTGGACTTAGCATAGGTTTCAAAGTAAAGTGAAGTGATCGCGTTGACTCGGCGTTCAGTACAGAAATTATTTATCTCTTCACTGAACGTCGAGTTAACGCGATCACTTCACTTTACTTTGAAATCATACTGCAACTGTTTCAATATATTAAATTTGAAACAGGTGTAGTGTGATTTCTGACTACCCCCTAATGGGATTACAGTCGTGAGTCTATGTATGTAGATACAACATTGTAAATAAATAGATACATTCTCATTTTTTAAAAAACGAAATAAAATAACATTTTTACGTGCTTATTAAACTTGTCTTTATTTAATTTTCATTTATATGGGCACTTGTATTTTGCCAAGGTACGCTACCACTGCCGTTAAAATAATTGGAAAATTCTTCTCTTATCTGATAGGCTGTAATAGAAGGGCTATTGCCTCCTCGTCGCAAAGGACGCAACACACTGTTAATACTGTTTTCAGTCTGAATTTCGTTATCTTCACTCAAATAGTTATGCAGAACACAGGCCGCTTCAATAACTTTGTCAACTGTGTGGATATTACAACCAAATGCAGTATGAAATACTCGCCATCGTGCTACTAGTATTCAACAACTCGCCGTGCTCTGCTTAGACGATAGCTATATATTCTTTTCTGATTATTTAGTTGCGATTGAGGGTATGGTCTCATTAAATTTGGAAGCAGTGGAAATGCTTCGTCACCAACAAATATGAAAGGCATTTCCATACCACCTTCTTCTAAAGATTTGGGTTCTGGTAGAAATAATGAATTATCTTTTAGTTTCTTTCCAAATGCAGAGTTGCTAAATATTCCTGCATCACTGAAACGTCCCTTTGATCCAACGTCTATTGCAATGAATTTATATCTTGCATCGACAACAGCAAGTAGTACTAACGAAAACGATTTCTTATAGTTAAAATAGTCTGATCCTGAGTTGGGAGGTGATTTGATATAAACATGCTTCCCATCAATAGCGCCTACACAATTTGGAAAATTGCATTTCTGCCTGAAATAGAGCTCATTTTCCAGCCACAATTCTGTAGTCATTTCTTTCATAAATATTGGCTGTAAACACTTCCATATTGCATTGGAAACTTTGGATACAATTTTTGAAACTGTAGGGCCCGCTATCTTAAAATTGTAACCAATTGTAGTAAATGAACTACCTGTAGCCATGTACCTGCGAATTAATAAATAATATTATAATAAGCAACTTCAATTCTTTCCTACTAACTATTCACTAAAAAGTAATGAAATAATTAATTATCTAAGTATGTCAAGAACTAGAACTTTGATTCTATTTAAAAAACTATGAATTGAATTGAAAGTTCTAGTTCTTGACATACTTAGATAATTAATTATTTCATTACTTTTTAGTGACTAGTTAGTGGGGAAGAATTGAAGTCGGTTTGTTATTTTTTTAATAAACTTATTTCATAATTTTTAGTGATAAGTTAATAATAAATTTTCATAATTATGTAGTGATGTATATATATTTATTATTTGTTACAGCCAAAGTAGCGAAAAATACTTGGAAAAAATTGCGAGACAACCATAGGGAAGCCTTAAAAAGACAAAAGGATGGAAAAAGTGGTCAAACTGCCAACAACACGCGTCTTTGGAAATTCCAGAAAGTTATGGAATTCCTTGTTCCATACATGCAAAATAGGAACACAACTGGAAATTATTCCCAAGATAATTCACAGGTGTCTCAAGAAAGTAATCATACTCAAGTTTCGGAATTGGACGAGGACAACTTTGAAGTAGAAAACGAAAATGAAAACAGCCAATCTTCTAATATAACTGCTGCAAGTTCCGAAACCACATCACAAAATACAAGCACACCTTTAACACGAAAACGTGTACATAGTGTTCAACATGTAATTTTAAATTTTGTTAAGATCCAGCAAACAGACCGAGAGAAAAGAAAAACAGAACGTGATTTGAGAAACCAAGTAATTGACAAAATGGACGACATGGATCATTTTTTTCTTAGTGTTTGTGAAAGTACAAAAAAATTAGCCAAACCGGCACAGCTTCGTCTTAAGAGAAAGATTTTTAATTTAGTTACGGAAGAAGAAGAGTTAAACATTTACAATGATATGTATGCATCTGAGAGTTATAATAGTGCCTTAACTAGTACTCGAGGGTATACAACAGCTCAAGGTGTCCAATCCTCAGATACCAATTGTCATACATTACACAATGTGTTTACATCTCCAAGTAGTGCCTCAAATCAATCTGTAGGAGGATATACAGCTGAACAAGATGCCAATGACCTTCCAGTCGGTGAGAACACCGTGTTCGGACCGTATGCAAGAGAGGAGGCCAATGCTACTTCGCTAATTCATTAATTTAAAAATTCTTAGCGGTACCATTTTAATTTCATTTTTGCTAAGTACTTGTTTTTTATATAATGTAACATTAGTAAAGTTAATGAACGTTTTTTACCATTGTTTTATTATATTGACAAGTCACGCACGCACTACGTACATACTAGAGTACTGCCGCATTGCATGTAAAGTTTTGAAAAGATATGTCAAAATAGGTTCACTATCTTACCATGTAAAATTTTTATAAATTATTATTCTACATACAAAATTAATTACTAATACATACACGAGGGAAAATGTAAAGAGAAAATTGCCTTATCTTGTGCATTCAAATAATTTACTTACCTCAAACAGATTGCTAATTTCTCTTCTGTGCTTATTGGCTTTCTTACAGTCAATTTTGTTTTTTATATATGGACTTATTACTTACTTATTAACGAATGTAAATAATTAAAATGATTTTTAGTCATTCGCAAATATTTAAAAAAATCGTCATCAGTGGCAATATTCTTTAGAAAATTAAATTCTCCGTATTTTTCACGTATGGTGTGTGGTAACAAGCTACCGTGACTGGACTCTTTTAACGACAAAATAACATATAAAATATCCATATCCGCTTCTTCTTCACTTTCATCTTCATCGGATTCAACTATGTCGTAATGTTTACGTTGTTTTGAAAATAAAGTCATTTTTGACGAGATAAACTACTACACGAGCTGCTGATTACTTTTATACTGAGCTAAGCAAAGCGCAGCACAGCTTGATGTTGATTGTTAAAAAAACGTAGCCTAAGAAACACAGCACAACACAGCGCAGTACAGCGCAGCATAGCTCGATGTTGATTTGTCACCCTAAGTACGCTTCTAATGTACGCTTATATACGCTTGACAGTTTCGTGACAGCTTAATGCTGCTGTGTTTCGTATGGTGAGCGTAGAGAACCGGCGATCCTTTTTACTGGAAACGAGGTAATTCATCTTAGTCATCTGCATTTTGATTCTTAATTCAAGTAGATACCTATAATAATATAATAATTATAATCTTTATTTCGGATAACAAAAAAGATCCATATCAGCGATAATAGAAAAATCACAAAATATAATACAGCTAGGTGGACGGAGAAAGTAAAATGACACGCACGCAGTCATGTTTTTGTGCTATAACACCCAGGATACTATTGGCGTTCTTCCTTGTTCTGCTGAGTAGCGATGCGGCTTTTTTGCGCATAATCGCGTCAAACCCGTCGGTGCGGGCCTCATAAAACATGCCTGAAGCGCTGCAGAAGTGGGACAGCCCCAAAAACCTCTAAATGCATTATTATCATCATTACAGCCCTTCACAAGTCCACTGCTGAACATAGGCCTCCCCCAAAGAGTGCCACAAAGCACGGTCCTGAGCCACCTGCATCCATCGACTTCCTGCATGTCTTACCAGGTCGTCACTCCATCTCGTGGGGGGACGCCCTACACTTCGCCTACCGGTACGAGGCTGCCACTCGAGAACCTTTCTTCTCCATCGGTTGTCGGTTCTTCGAGCTATATGGCCGGCCCACTGCCACTTCAGCTTACTAATCCGTTGGGCTATGTCGGTTACTCTGGTTCTACTGCGGATATCCTCATTCCTAAGTTTATCACGCAGAGAAACTCCGAGCATAGACCTCTCCATAGCTCGCTGAGCGACCTTGAGCTTCCTCATACGGCCAGCAGTGAAGGACCACGTCTCAGTTCCATAAGTCATCACTGGCAACACGCACTGGTTGTACAATTTCGTTTTCAGGTTTTGAGGTATGTCTGACGAGAAGATGTGTCGTAGCTTCCCGAACGCTGCCCAGCCGAGTTGAATCCGTCGATTGACCTCTCGGTCGAAGTTGGACTTACCTAGTCGGACTATTTGTCCCAGGTAAACATACTCGTCAACAACTTCGAGCTTAGTGCTCCCAACAACAACCGGCATAGGTGTGACATGGACATTGAACATGATCTTTGTTTTGTCCATGTTCATCTTAAGACCTATCCGTTGGGAAACACTATCGAGGTCATTGAGCATAGTGCTTAGGTTCTCCAGCGATTCTGCCATAAGGACTATATCGTCGGCAAATCGAAGGTGAGTGATGTACTCGCCATTGATGTTGATACCGTATCCTTTCCAGTCCAGAAGCTTGAAAACGTCTTCCAATGCAGCGGTGAAGAGTTTCGGGGATATGACGTCACCCTGTCTTACACCTCTCTGCAATTGGATAGGTTTCGTACTCTGGTTCTGTACTCGGATAGCCATCGTAGCCCTACTGTACAAGCACTTCAACACTTCGATATACCGACAGTCAACTTGGCACCGCTGAAGGGACTGCAGCACCGCCCAAATTTCGACGGAATCAAAGGCTTTCTCATAGTCCACATACGCCAGACATAGTGGCAAATTGTACTCTTCGGACTTCTGTACAATTTGCCGAAGGGTATGTATGTGGTCTATGGTGCTAAAGCCCTTTCGGAAACCGGCTTGTTCGGGAGGCTGGAAGTCGTCAAGTCTGCGCGCGAGACGATTCGTAATGACTCTCGAAAACAGCACGTAGACGCGGCTCAGAAGGGAAATCGGTCTGTAGTTCTTCAAGAGAGCGTTGTCACCTTTCTTGAAGAACAAGACCACCGCACTTCAGCTCCACGCCTCCGGTGTAATGCCACCATGGAGGACGGAATTAAAGAGCTTCTGAAGGACTTCAAGTACCGGTTTTCCACCCGCTTTCAGAAGCTCCGCTGTAATTCCATCCTCGCCTGGGGCCTTACCGTTTTTAAGGTGCTGGAGAGCCATTCTAATCTCGCTCAGACTGACGTCCGGGATATCTTCGGAATCACTATTGCCTTCTATCTTTGTTTGTATTGTGGTTTGTATTTGATCTAATAAATGGTAATTGTATTTGATTTTAACTTGATTTGATATTAACGGTATTCGTTATTCGTTATTTTTTTTGTATTTGTTATTTGTTAATTTGTAATTTGTATTTGAGCCGCGTAAGGATTTGAATTTAGAAAGTGATGCCATCGCGCGGCCAGGGCTATCACCATACCGTTTTGTGTCTGGGTGCGAACGGCGTTTCCTCCCAGGGCTCTTCCGAGCTCTCGACTCCCACGGGCGGGGGCGCTCAGCTGTCGGATGAGACTCGCTCTTGGATCGTTACTCACACTTGCGTGTGGCTCCAACGATGACGTGTACAGCTGCCCATAGAACCTCTCAATCTCACTCAAAATCTCAGGTGTCCCGGAAACGATGCTGCCACATTCTGTCTTCAGCTTTGACAGGTGGCTCTTTCTGGCAGACAGATCTCTGGCAAAGACTTTGGAGCCTTGGTTCCGCTCGATCGCTTCTTCAATACGAGCTGTATTGAAGTTGCGTAAGTCCCGCCGCATGCATTTGGAGATCTGTCTGTTCAGATGCCTGTATGCTGTCAAGTCTGTTGAAGAATGTAGCTTCATCTCCCGTCTAACAGCCATGAGATTAAGAGTGTGATCGGAGAGTTTTTGTGTTCTTCTGCGGCGGGTCTTGCAGAACTTAGCTCCGACCGCATGGACAGTTTCCACGACCTTGTCATTCATATCGTCCACTTCATTGCAGTCTTCTAGGCACTGAAAACGGTTTTGTAACTCGAGCTGAAAGGTTTCGGGACTTTGGAACAGAGCACGAGGGGGACGGAGCGTTGACTTCATTAGACGAGACCACTCCAACTTAACGTTTAGGTTCAGTGTGCCTCTAATCATTCGGTGATCGCTACCAGTTTTCACCCTCGCGATCACGGAGACATCACTGAACAGTTGTCGTCTGGTCGTCATAATGAAGTTAATCTCATTTTTTGTCGAACCGTCGAGGCTCGACCAGGTCCACTTCCTGTGGGGCCGCTTCTGGAAGAAAGAGTTCATCATAAAGAGTCCCTCTTTCTCCATGAAGTCGGCCAGCTGCTGGCCCCTTGGGTTCCGTTGCCCTATTCCAAATTTCCCTACTTTCAGCTCACCGTTCTCTCTTGTGCCTAGTTTTGCATTGAAGTCTCCCATTAACACCGTATATTGGGTTTTGTATGTGGCATTATTATATTGCACCTTTAATGCTTTATACGCCCTTTATGTGTAGTTGACCCAAAGGGAGCACGAATAGAAAGACTGGCAGTATGCCTTAAAAAGAGTTATTTTAGCGGCACTACTGCATCGTGCAAACCTACGGGCCAACATATTACTTCGGGTCGCTAAAGCCCTACGCTCCCTTTCTATGTCCATTTCATCACGCAAATCCTCGTTCACGTAGTATCCTAAGTATCCGAATTGTGATACCCTCTATAAAACGGTTTGTAGAGTTTGATAGGTGGTATACACGTGGGACTCTTGTTATTAGCTTTAAACAACACAAACTCACTTTTCTTTATATTATAAATTAGACCGTGTCCATTTGCATAAGCCTCACAGATTCCCAGAAGCTTTCTGAGCGCACTGACCGAGGCACTCAGCAACACCATGCCGTCGGCGTAATTTAGATTGTTGACACACTTTACATCCACATGGCAACCGAACTTAGTGCTGCTGAGTCTCTCGAGCAGCTCCTTTATATACAAGTTAAAAAGTTGATGTGAACTTATTCCACCGTGTCTCACGCCACATTTCAACTCGTACGATTCAGAAAGCTTATCTGTCCATTTTACATGATTGGTTTGATGATTGTACCGATAGCGGAAGATACCCAGGAGGTCATTAGAAAAATTACATTCGGCAAGTTTTTCCATAGAATGTGATACGACACCAGTTCAAAAGCCCTCGACAGTTCTAAGAAGCATCCATAAACCGGAGTTTTGCGATCTGTCTAATATCTGACTGTATGTTTTAAACCTAATATTGCACTTTCTGTTGACAGCCCTGCCCTAAAACTAACTGTGCATCATGAATCTGAAGAACTTTTTCTACATCATTGCTTAGTAGCCTGTCGAGGACCTTTGCCGTCACTGTTGCTAAAGAGATAGGCCTATAATTGTTCTTATCTGAAATGTCT